TACACAAGACATAGCCCACAATATGATACAGCTACTCTGTGGTAAACGATATATTGTATGACAATTATTCAACAATAGATGTGATATCTGAATAACTGAATAAAATGAATAATGGTCCTAAAAAGGTAAGGTGCAGGATTTATGTATTTAGTCACTGCAACTTGGTGTCAGTTTCACCTCATTAGATCCCTAGTGAACAGAAAAGTAGAAAAATATATTTAATATTTGTATTTTTACACAAACAATTGTCCAGCAAGTAAAAACAAATTTGAAATATTAGTTTTCAGCTCCACCCTGTTGATTTATGCCTTAACATCTTAAAACATTTCTTTAGAAAGGGGGAACCATCAGGTAAGGGGGTCTGGGGGAGATTTATGTCACTGCATTGTGCTCGATTTTATGTGCAAATGTATGTTCTTGTGATTTTGTCTTGTGTACTCTTTTGTGTCCCTTCTGTAATCTCATTTGGTGTTAGGACACATTTTCACATCAATGTTACATACATTTATTTTGATACTTTTATTTTGTATGTAGATTGTTTGTTGGATGTATGATTTTACTGCTGCCTGAAAAACAAATTACCCTCTCACAGCGACAAGAAAGACAACCTTGATCCTTTCCTTTTTTGTGTAAATCAGGCCTACCTATCACAGAGGCAATGACCAGATTCATTGATGCTTTGAAAATAAACTTTGCCTCAAGATTCAAACATTTCAGTATCCCCACAGAGGTAATGACGTTTGTGAAGGACACTTTCTGTGCGGATGTCGATGGAGAGTTTGCATTTTATGCAAAGGAACTGGTCACCTCACTGGATGAGGCATCTTTTTTTTTTTTTTTTTTTTTATTTATTTTGGGCTTTTTGTGCCTTTAATGCAGAGAGAGGACAGTGGACAGAGTCAGAAACCAGGGAGAGAGAGCGGGGAATGACATGCGGAAAGAGGCCACGGGTGGAAGCGAACCCGGGCCTACCGCTCAAGACGAGAGTCTCAATACATGGGACGTGCGCCCTAACCATTGCGCCACCAGCGCGTCCCTGGATGAGGCATCTTTGCAACTTGAACTGATTGACATTCAGTCATCTGATGACCTGCGACAGTCATTCCAGCTGACAGGTTTTCAAAAGTTCTGGACTCATGCAGTGAGCAAGGAGAAATTCCCTCATTCAAGGAGTCTGTTGCTTTTCATCCTCACTATGTTTGGCTCAACTTACACATGTGAATCCTCATTCTCACACATTTAGACTACTAACCGTGCATCACTCACTGCCCAGCATCTGCACCACTGTCTGCACATTGCTCTGACAACCTACACTCCTGACTTCAGAAATGTAATTTCTCTCATTAAATGTTGGCTACATGATAAATAACAGTTGTAAGTTATACGTTTTGATATTTGCAGGTTGTTTGTACCAGTTTGAATATTACTGCTGAATCTTTTATATCAATAATGCAATATTATGCACTTAATGTGGCCACTGGTGTGGACAGATTTTTGATAAATGGTGCATTTTCAATACTGAAGGATTTTCCTTGTAAAAAAAACTCTGCTCTGTCATTGTTGGATTTCTATCCATAGTTAGCAACTGCTGGCTGAGCAGACTGTTCTAGGCAGCAGTATTGTTAGTATTTAGGATTAATTTTAGCAGGTTGTTTGTTACAATTTAAATGTTACTCAGTTGCCTTAATATTCACTTAATGTTATATTATGCACGTAATGTAGCCATAGATGTGGTATGGCTCACATGGACTGTTTATTAAGGTGTCTGATGATGCAATATTTGCCTTGATACTTTGCACTTTTATTGTTATAATTGTTTGTGATTCAAAAATGTTTTTGTTGGTAAGATTGAGTGCACTTAAGCCCATGTTGTCTGGTAATGAAATGGCTAAATTTCTAAATGTCTGGTATTGCTCACTCAGACTATTGCTTACGTTGTATGCTCATTTGAATGTAGACATGACTTTTTTTATGTTGTGTCATGATGCAATGCAATGTTGCTGTTGTGCATTTAAAAATACAGTATGCACTTTCCAATATGTTGTTGTTTCTAATTGTATTCAAAAAGCTGCTAAAATGATTAGCCATATTTTGAGCGATATATCTCAGGCCCCTCATTTGGTATCCGTTTTTGGTATCTGGCCCTCAGTAAAAACTAAATAGTTTGAAAGCATCTGCCCGAGAGCGTTTATCTGATCAATTCAAGTTTGGAATCAAATTAAAGAAGACAAGTTGAAGAATAAAAGTTGTGCTCAAATCACGAGGTTTCGAAATAAGGCGTGGCGTTTTATGTTGTCTTTGGCATCGTGCCAAAAACAGTAAATGCTTATAACTCTACTATGCAGTGTTCATCATCAAACAATTCATGCATGACAAAGAGCCTGCCCCTGAACACATCCATGATTTAATTTCTTTAATTAGTCATAGCGCCACCTATTGACAACAGGAGGTCACTCCGTCTGAGCACCGTTTCCTTTGCACAAGCCAATGCTACACAGTTGCTTGTATCTCCCTCAAAATCGCTGTTGACCATCCAAAGACCTTCACCATACGACCTTTACAAGCACAAAGTCCTGCGTGAAAAGCTGTTCCCTCACGGACGCGTCATTCGCCATCAGACAAAAAATTGTTATTTGAGGGGCTTAAAATTGCTTAACATGGTCGTATACACAGCACTTCATATACATCATCTCAGTGGCAAAGTCAAACTTTTCTTGTGGGTGAAGTGAGTGGGCGTGGCTAAATGGCTCAGTGGCGCCCCCTTGAAAATTTCAAAAAGGCCTCCCCATAGGGTTTTTTTTCTCCGAAATGCATGAAAATTATTCTGTATATTAAACATGTCAGGACCTACATAAAATTCTGCATTTCATAGGTTCCCTTTTTGGACGAACTTGCCAGAGAGTGTCATCCCATAATGTAAATTCCAAGAAATGACTTCATTCAACACATAAAATCAACATACAGTTCTGCATGAATACAGAAAAAAACCATTTCAGTCTCTTCAATACACTTAATTATTCTGTTTTGTAGGCAAATGAACATTTCTACACATTCAGGAGTGAGTTGTGAGCGCATAAAATACTCTACTCACAGTAATATATGTAGCCTACAGTCTAGTGTTTTTTTTTTGAAAGATGAACACATCTGTGATTGGGCTGAGTCCAGTGCAAAGTCTATTCACAATAAGTCCAGCTGCAGAAAACACTCTCTGCTGACCGTCTAATTTTCTCCTCATTTTTATCCATACAGCTTCTTTTAAGGCCCTGACACACCAAGGAGATCGTTGGCCGTCAGTTCTAGTTTGACCATCGGTGAGCGGCCGTCGCCCTAGTTTTAGTTTCTAGCGGTGTGTCTGTCGGCCTTTTTTTGGGCGATTTAACATGTTGAATCGGCGTTGGTGGTCGTTAGGACGAATCTCTCGGCACAGGTTCAGGAAAGCCCCTTGAGCATGCTGCTGTAGTATCCATGCTCTCACTCATTAGGGTGGTTTCTCTTTATTTGTCTTACTTGTCTCTCTTCTTTTCTGTGTTGACCGACAGCGGTGTGAAAATTGTCTTCTCGTATCATAACAACGGACTACCACCGCCCTAAAAGAACAGATGAACTTGGTTCATTAACTTTAAAATGAGCAAAAGTCAGGGTTTCTCCTGGCTCAGAATGGACCTTTGGGGGGTGACTATGCGCGCTGGAGTAAACATTCGACCCATGTATAACAGTATAGTCTACGAATTTGTATTATCTTATTTGACAGAAATCTGTGCATTTCCATTTTATAAATAATATTATCATTATGCTTAAGTAACTGAAACCCCAATTAAATCTGGTAAAGAATTGTTTTTTATTGCAACAGTGAAACATGGGAGGGGAGAGATTTTGAGGGAGAGGGGTGTAATGAGATTGGGAGAGGGGAGGTCACATCCTGTCAGTGCATTTCACCCTCTTCCTATGATGGCTGCTCTTTACCTTTAAATTGTGTTTTTGTTTTACATACACATTTGTTTAAGTACATTTATTTGAGTTACTAAGGTATTATGCCAAATAATCACAGATTTAAGTCACAGATAATTTGGATCATTTGAACAGATCAGGAAATTGAGAAATTATGAAAATATATTTGCTGGCTATAACGCAGCGCTGTTTGACAGTCTGTGTGGAGAAGTTCACAGACTACAGCTGGCTGACGTTACGATCGTTAAGTTATCCATTGCTGATAAAAGCAGACACGGTGGAAGTGAACGGAGAAAAGTTGAACGTACGTTCCCGACTCGGTCCATACGGATAGCGGATATACAGTGTTCCGTTGTACAGTTGCACTACAAGTAAACAGGTGTGCGCGGTGGTTGGCGTTCCGGTGTGTGTGTGTGTTTGCAGCCATGTATGTTGGTGTGTCTCGCCTCAGTGTGCCCCCGGATGACCTGCCTGCAGACAACAGAGGAGCAGGGACAAGTAGCCACAGCTACATCATACGTGGTTTAGTATAGTTTTAACATGATAAAAATAAAAAAATATTTACCGCCATCAAGTGGATTGCTCTTTGAAATTAACTCGCCAAACGTACAATCAAGCCGCATTTAGAGCTTGTGGGTGTCAGCGGAGCGTCCGGAACCAGTCAAAAGAAACAAACAGTCAATTAGCTGGCTATCCAGCACGAGCCACATGTGTAAATGGATGAGAGGGGAGATGACTACTAGAAGTCAGAGACGTCATATTTAAGTTTATGTTCTGCTTGTTCAACAGTCGTTTGATGTATTGATATTTTTAACATACATTCAGAGAGGATTTGATTTGAAATTTGAATCGTCTTTTTTTTCTTTTGGCGCTCGTGATTTTCCTTTGGCGCTGGGTAAAACCTATTTGGGGGGGCACCAAAGAATTCTCTATGCAGGAAAAACCCTGTGTCCACAGCTGGGATGAGGAGCTGGTGTTGAATTTCTTTAGATTTGCAAATCAATGTCAGTGATATAAGTAGAGACTGTTGTCGTATTCAGTTCACAGAGCACCACGATGGAGAAGTTCTGGCTGGGTCTCTTGTGTCTCTCAGGTCAGTAAACTCTGTTTAATTATAACTGCTTATTTTCTTACAATCCACAATGTCTTCAGTAATTAAGTGTTTTAAGGGGTTGTCTTTATGATTATGTTGGTTGGTCTGAAAAAAATGTTAACCTTAAAAATTCAATAAAAAGCAATATATAAAATAGAATAATATAATAAAAGGCAGTGTACATATTATTTTTAATTTTGTTCGACAGGTGCATCTCCACATAAACAGAGAGACTTTGCACATTAATAGTTTGGTAAAGCAGCTTTATATAAATCATTTTGTAGGTGCAGCTAGGCCTGGGCGATATGACAAATAATTTTATCACGATAAAAAATGTCATATCAGTCGATATTGATAATTATCACGATAATTGTCAATCATTATTTCTTTCAAATTTAAAAGCTGATTTGAAAGTTGAAGAAACCAGATGGTTAACTATGGTTTAATTATTCTTTATTGTCGGGGAGCTGGAAATACTGATACGACAGTTTGCTGCTGGGGGAGTGGCACTTACTGGCCCGCTGCTTACTGAGGGTCCACACCATAGACTGTTTATGTTATTTACCATACGGTCCATACTAACACTCGTTTGGGATGTTTGGTCATTTCTTTCCTTCGGTGTGTTATAACGGGTCAGGTTTGTGGTGTCGCCGTTTTAGCTGCACTTGTCTTCGGCACAGTTAACAGAGCACTTTACTCTGTTTTTTGTCGGTCTGTAAACTATCCAAACTGTCTCTAAACTCCGGAAGTTGAGCGGCCTTTCTTGTCGACGATGTTTTCTCCTGCTCTGAGCCGCTACACTCAGCGTTTTCTTCAGGGTCTCTATCGCTTATTTCAGCTGTGTTTTCATTCCACTCCTAACATCTGTAAGCCCGCCTACATCCCTATCCCTGCAACATGATTGGCTGTTCGTCGTCTTTTTCTTCTTCTCTTTAATATCGGGTGGCAACTAGCGTTGAAGGAGCTCCCGTTTCCCAGTGGTTGGATGGTGTAATTACATGTTTAAACCTATTGAAATTTTAACTTGCATTTTTCATATTTAAATTGACAAAACTTATATCGCGATAATTATCGTTATCGTTTTATCGCCTAGGTGCAGCAAAGCACCTGTTTATTTACTCTTTACTGTATGTGTGTTCTCCTCACAGGCTGGAACATCTCCTCATGCCTTCCCTCTCAGTACCACTATGTAGCTGAGCCTATGACTTGGACTGAAGCTCAGACCTACTGCAGAGAGACGTACACAGACCTTGCCACTGTTGAAAACATTGAAGAAATGAAACAACTTCTCTCCACAGTTCCATCTCTGCTTGATGAACATTTTGTCTGGATCGGCCTGTACAGTAAAATCGAGTGGAAATGGTCAGACGGCTACACAGAGAGTGGGGCTGATTATAGGAACTGGCAGTCTGTAGAACCCGACTTTTTCGGAGGTCAATTCTGTGTTCTAATGAATGTGTTCAATAGTGGAACATTGTTCGATTACTTCTGCTCTGTCAGATGTAATTTTATCTGTTACACAGGTAAGAGAGCAAGAAACAAGGGGCATGTCCAGGGTGTTTTGCTTTGATTGGCCTAACTTGGGAGCTGATTTATGAAGGAGTGGAATTAAGTTTTAGTGCACGCACACAGTAATAATAGGGTCGGTAATCTTCTGGTTAAAACATATCCATCAAAACTTTGATAGAGGACATACTGGCTGCTGCGTTGTTGTCAGAGAAGCCAGCACTTCAACATAGCATGTTTCCTTAATGTCTGATCAGATAGTAAAGTCATTTAATTATTTAATTCATTATATATCTCACATATTGTTCTTTCAAAGAGGTTTATTGAACATTTTACTTGGATCAATCATTTCCTTTTTTTTCTAACTCTAACTGCAGGGACACAACAGGATCCTGAGTTTGTCTTTGTCAATGAACGCATGTCTTGGTCCAATGCTCAGAAGCACTGCAGGGAGAACTTCATAGACCTGGCCACTGTGAGGAACATCAATGACACAGAGAAGTTCCTGAGCTGGGTGCCAGAAGGAATATGGCCATGGATTGGTTTGTACAGAGATCCTGACTTTAACTGGTCTAATGGGAGTCCCTCCACATACACATACTGGAAACGCAGTCCAACTCCATTAGGCTCCATGAGCGCGGCTTGTGGAGCTGCAGAGATGCCAACATCAGGAAAATGGATTTTGTCTGACTGCGAAACTAAACTCCCGTTCGTTTGCTACATCCCTACATGTAAGTGATAAACTGACTTTCACTTGAACAAAGAGATTGTAGAATTAGATGATTATAATTGATGCTACACTGTCATTAATTGTATTGAAGCAGTAACTCAACAGCACAGTTTCTTCTTTATTTCTGCATGACAGCAAAACAGCAGGTGATGAAGCTCAGGATGAAGCCAGAGGACTCCACTGTGGATCTGAATGACCCTGCTGTGAAAGCCGACATAATGAAAAAGGTGAGTCTCCAAACTTTTTTTAGTAAACTTGAATTGCTCGACCAAGTGAGTGATGGGGGAATTTCTGTCTTCATTTGTGTGTTTGTTTGTTTGACTGTGTTTCTATCCTGTTAGCCTGCCAGGTGAAACTAATGCGAGCTCGCAGCAACAATACAGATTTAAGAACATGTTTAGAAATGTGTTTCCATATGTATCTTTCAGCTCCAGGACAGGCTGAAGGAGAAAGGACTGAGTGGAGTCACCCTGAAGTGGAAAGAGCAGCCTGATGGGAAAGTTTTCCACAAGGAAGAAAAACGATGAAAACTTTAAGCTCTGCACATGAAATGTACCCGTGTTTAGCTGCACAGTAATGTGTGTTATCAATGTTGGATGATGATTCTATCTGAGACATGCATTACAATCAGTGACTAAGGCATTCAGTGAGATAAATAATTGTTTTAAAAGTGTATCGTAAGTTTGTGACCCCTTAAGTGACCCCCGAAATGTTTTTGTTCCTGTTGCTGGGAAATTAGCCCTTATCAATATCAGCATTAGTGTGTCATTAATTTGTATTGCCATGAATAGATATACCTGCTTATAGTAACAAATGGGGGAAAGGGGATACAGGATTGATTATAACATCAATCCGTTATAATCTGTGTTCTTAAAAAACTGTGTAATGTTGTAAGATTTGCGTTTGTTTAGAATACTGTTTACTTTAAAGTAAATCTCTGGCTTGCATGAGGAGGAGAGACGGTAAATGAACAGCTGTTAAGATAGTACACTCATCTTGACACAATGCTCTGATTTATGTTGTGACATTAATGCTTTTTAGCTGACATCTGTCTCTGGAATTTGGGGATGTTGTGTAAGATGGAGGCACCAAGCAGGTAAACATGAGGAGAGGCTTGTTGTCCATGTGCTGGGACATTAAAGGCAGGGCACTTTTTAAGATTTTGGTTGAAACTGTCTTTAGGTCCTGACAGAAATTCAAAATGTGATCTGAAAAAAGAACAAAGAAAATCTGTCATCATCCCATATCAGTCGGCCCGTACTTTCTATCATAGGCAGTATAATGAGGAGGGTATTCAGGGCAAAGTCTAGACTATGGTCATATAGAGGAAGTTCTGTTTGTGCATGTGATTGTAATGCATGCCTGTGTGTGAGAGAAGCATTTCTCTGAATAACAAAGGGAAAAATAAAGTGTATCAAATGAAAAAAAATTATTAAAATATATCATATAACTTATTTTCATCGGTGTGATGTCCCACTGTCATCTTCTTCTTTGGCCAATTAACTTCAGTTAAAGTTGCCCTCACCCGTATCATAAGCACCACCTGGAGGATGATGTATTGCCCTATTGATATTTTGCCTAGCCCTAACACTTCTTTATTCTTTGCCAATTTAAAGTTTTGAGTCAAAACACCAAAATCATACTTTAAGAAATGGTCAGTTTTAGAAAACAGCTCAAATGTGCACATCATGCATGTCCACACAGTTGGAAAAAAATCCCTTTACCTAAGAAGGGTCTTTGTTATCTTCCTCTCTTTTGATACATTCATAAAAAAGTCTCCATCTGCAGACAAGATGTAGGCCACAGGTGCCATGGAAACAAGCCAGAGGAAATAGACACAGAAAAAAACTAGAAATGCGAAAATCTGAAAGGAGGAAGAGGGGGCTGTGAGATTTGGAGATGCGGCTGCTCATGGAAGAAATATAAAAAAGACAGCGACAAAAAGATAAAAATCAGTTCGGGAAAATTATGTAGAATGTAAAAAAGGTGAAAGAAGAAATACAATCTAATTCATCGACATCAATGTACATTTTCGTCTTTTGAAAGCAAAATGTTTCCACAACCTTTATGGAAAAAGGTGTTTTGGGTACAAGCTGAGATGCTCAATGAAAAAGCAGGAAGGAAAGCAACCTGCAAGACGATCAAGTTCATGATTCTGAGTGTTAAATCGATGGAGAACTTGACACCAAACAAAAGTATCCACGGTGTTCAGCTGTGTGACCTCTCACTGAGGCCAAAATCCTCAGACTTTCCCAAAACGCCTCGCATCATCTGAACCAGAGATGCTCCATTGATCCACATGCCACCCTGAGTCCCCAGGCATTACTAATGGATAGCTCCTCTCATCAATAAATCATCGAATCTGTGGGTCCATAAGAGAAAGAGAGAGAGAGAGAGAGAGGGGATGCCTGCTGAGCGTAAGACTGAGCACTCAAACTTCAGCTAGGAGGGAACATTCAAACCTTTCACTCTATATCCATCAAGGAGTGGTTATCACAAAACCTACAGAACTCTGAGCTACATCATAATAATCTTTATTCTGGTCCATGAAATAAAGTCAATATCTAATTTTTAAGCGTATGTAAGAAATAGTCACTGTGCCTCAAATTAAGCTGTTTCTTACTTAAACTTGCAATTTTTGTGTGCTGGTAACACCAGAGCCGACCCATTAATCGTTAAAGCCAGCTGATAATATCTGCCGGCCGATATTAGCATATCAAGTGACTATTGATATCGGCTAATTTAATCCCAGATGTGTGCCGATATTACTAGATCTATTCACCAGTCAAATAGCATTTACTCTGAGTTTCTTGTATTAAACTAGCAGTTTTCTTTCACCAGCAGAGGGCGCTGTATGGATTACAACAAGCATCATCACTCTTAAGAGTGTCAAGTTGTGACGCACGTATATACACAGTTACCTTCCAGTTAAGTGACCATCTGGTCTTCGTTATGCTGTGCATCTTTTCCACAAGTGTTTCAGAACTGCATTGGAGGGATCAACGCAATAATGTGTTTAACTAGATCTAGGAAATGTATCAGCCGATATATCGGTATCAGATAGTTTTTCTCCCTAATATCAATATCGGCCCCAAAAGTCCCATATCGGCCGGGCCGTAGTTGACAACTAAAATTTCAGAACAATGCAGTACTCTGTAAGCATCCAATAATTAAACTGAAAATGAGTAAATTGTGAGAGTTTAACTTCAAATACCTTTAATATGTTGAACTATTTTCTGTAAATTTTATTCCTGAAAGTAAAAAAAATGATATCTTTATAACTGAAAGGATGAAAAATATCTGTAAAAGAGCTTTGACTCAAAAAGTGGTTATTTGTAACTTGTCAAAATTGAACATTAAAATATTAAAATTTGAGTTTTAAAATGATAAAATGATGACAAGCAGAAATGATTTTCACAGATTAAATGAGTTATTGATATCTGTAATTAAACTAAAGCCACCTGGAAACAGGTTTTGACTATCAAAAATTTAATTTCACATGTTTTGAATTTAACATTATGTCAGCATTGTTTTAAGATGTCCTGATTAGACTAAACTTTTGGACATTCTGTCATGTCAAAATGTAATTTCATTACCACCAGTCAGCCGAAAAGATTAAATATTCCTACCATTTGTCAAGAGAGGACAGCTCTGTCTATGTCAGGGAATTATAAAGAATAGATCGATACAAATAAAAAAGTCCCAGAAGAATATTTAGTACGACAACAGTAAAAAGATTACTAAAGAGCTGAATAAAATTTTGTCTCTCCAGACAAGAATCAAAATCTTGATGAGAGAATCTGCTGCTGGAGCTGAGATGTCCCCTCAGATGTTTTTAGCTAAAAGGTTTTTCTTTTTTGGCGGCAAGGCTGCTGGTCGCTATGGTGATGTCTGGGTGTCATCCTCACACACCATCTGTGATGTTGTCGGACGTCCAAAAAAAAAGAAAGGAGGCAGCATGGACCGGTCAAACACAGCAGGTGTGGAAACACACTTAGTGTAATATGATACTGGACAAAATTAAGAAAAGATACTCATAGATAAAATGAATGCACACGCAGACACACACACACACACACACACACACACACACACACACACACACACACACACACACACACACACACACACACACACACACACACACACACACACACACACACACACACACACACACACACACACACACACACACACACACACACACACACACACACACACACACACACACACAGTTTCTTTCTCTTTTCTTGAGCCGAGTCACAATCACAACCATCCCCACATAATCTACACACTCTTGTTACTCCCTCTTTTTTCCTTTGAGTTATTTCCTGACGAATCAGAGCAGACAGTAGGAAGTAATTGTGTCACGTTGGTCGATAAAAGTCGCCGTATTAGGATTGACTTTCTCTGTTTCCACCTCCTCTGACCCCCGTCTACACATCTATCTTTAAAAGCAATAAGAAGTCTCAACCAGGCCCAAGGTGCTTCGGTGTTTTAAGAAATGCTCCAGAGTTAGATGGACAAAACAACAAATTCATGATTTTGCTATTTGTACAGCTCAACAAGTGTTTGAGGTATGTGAACATCTATCTGAAGAGAGTAGTTAAACAAAGGTCTACAGTCACATAAATCAACAGGGTTCATCCTGCAGGGAACAAAAACATGCTCAGAGAAGTCATGTCAAACAGCCTATTTACTGTTCTGAAAACTAAGGCCCCTTTCATACATGCACTAAACCTATCAACAGATATATTAACAAGAGAAGGTTTATGTTAGACATAAATAGTCTGCATCAGTTAAATCAAACATTTAAAACAGTCTGTGTGAAGATTTAAACTGTTAGAAACCATCAGCAAACGAAACCCTGGAAACCACTGACAGTCATCCGATAATAATTTAGTTTGAATTGATCACGATAAACAGACACCTGCATGATACAAGTGAAGCTAACGATCCACTCTTAAGATGTTGTTTCTCAAAACCAACTAAATCTGCGGCTCAAGTTTCTAGTCAGAATGCAAAAAAGGCAACGCACAGAAGTCTTGGACGCCAGTCATTTAACGCTCACTGCCCGCTACACTGGGAGCCCTGAAAAGTGACATTTTAGTTCACAAAGCAAACCATCTGCCACCAAATGTAGAATCAGGTATCATTCACTCTTATAAACAGAGATTTCATGTGCATAACTTTTTATTCAGCGCGCCAGTGATGCATTTTACCAAAAACAATTCCTATTTCAGTAACCCACTTGGGTCTTCTCCTGTGTTTCTATTTCTATTTCCATATTCTTCAGAGCAGAGAGGAAACCCAAGCAGTGAGCAAGTGCGAAAGATGCAAAAAAAAGTCAATAAAAGTTGTATTTGTGTTCCTAATGCAATGTGTGATAGCAGGATTTCCAACAGCCCCCTAGGAGGTGTTTCTCTATCTCACTGTGTTGTAAAAGAGTTTGTATTTTGACAGTTTGCCCGGTATGGTGGGCGCCGGGTCTCCTATGTAGACAGCAGAGGAAATTGGCCTTTATTAACTGACTGATCAGATATGAGTCATGAGATAATTATAGAGCATTATCTGGGAGTGGGTTTAATACGATTTTAATCACAGAGTACATAGGATTCGGATGGATGTGGCTATAACGAGATCTGCTCTCATATCGGAGTATTCAGGGCGACAAAATGTAATGCTGCAAAGAAAGTTTAGTTCATAAATGTATCCAATGATCAAAAGTGTTTGAGGCATGGCAGGTTGATATACAATCCTAGAATTTTAATTTAGAATTTAATGGACTACTTCTGTCAAGCAAAATCCAAAGACTGTCGAGCACACAAATCACTTAAGGCAAATTTATTTTAGTGCAAAGGACTGACATTTCAACGCACGTCTGTCTGAGGG